TGGATTTCTGCTCCTGGTTGCCGATCGGCACTTCTCCAAGCTCAAGCCGGGCTCCAATGGTGATGAAGATCAAGCTAGGGCACTTGGGAACTCTTGTTCGTCGCTTTCTCTCTCTAGGAATCGCTCTGTCTCTCTAAAACTCGAATCCCCTTCACTTGTGTCTGGAAATTGGCTTAAAACCAGAAAATCCCGACTCACACGGCCATGTCACACGGCCGTGTGACTCCCCCCGCTGCCCGTGTGGCTTTGCAAAACGCGGCGTTTCGTTAAGTGACTGCAGGCTTCCCACGCGGCCACGACTCACACGGCCGTGTGAGTGTCAAGGCTACCCGTGTGGCTTTTGCCGAGCCTTCACACGGCCACAGTGGGTCTCCCACACGGTCGTGTGGCTTTTGGGCATTCCCGTGTGGCTTTTCAGCTTCTCGCCAAGCGTCCAAACTTCGTCCAATCGACCCCGAACTCGTTCCTAAACCTTCATTCACGAACTAGGACCTGAAATATCACAAACAAGAACAACCTAGCGTGAAATCGGCCTAAAACACGGGAATCGGCATCTCAAACGGCTCAAGAATAGGGGTAAAAACATGTGTAATCAATGGTCTATCACTAATATAGTACTTTCTACTTGTAATTAAAAATCAATAACTTCTCTCTTATGTACTGAACTAACACCTAGAGATGACAATTTCGACCTAACCCATTTTACCCAATATGTTTGGCATGTTTTGGGGGCGGGCATGGATACGCTCATCGACCCGACCTGCCTTAACACGCCGAATTCTCGACCTATTTTTTCCTAAATTACATGTAATCTTAGTCAAATTACTTAGGATTTTCCCTTTATTACCTCATATTTTAGCTATCATATAATTTTAATAAGTGAAAACTTCAGTTTATCATACTGTGATTTGTTTCTTGGTCTTCTAATAAAAATAAAAAATATTTCTAATGTTTTCCATATAAATTACATACCCATTAGATCGATCTGCCCCGACCCACGCCCCATGATAAATTACCCAATCTGGACCCTACATGCCATGTGGCGGGTATGGGTATTGAGATACTCACCCTGAATCTGCCCCATTGCCATTCCTACTGATGGCCCAAAATCGCTGATTTCTCTTCTAACTCGCCAATTTTCGCAGGGACTTAAAATTAATTTTTCTTCCTCATTCGACTACCTAGCTAATCCGCTTTTGTACGATACTATGTGCTCGTACATTTGTCCGCTAACATGCCGAGACCCGAAAACCATACGAGACTGTTGCAAAAGGCATCAAAAGCATCAAAGTGTCCCTAGGGGAGTCCGACCACATAAAAACTCGAATATGCAAGAAAATCCATAGTTAGTAAAATACGATATGGGAAAGTTACGAATAAAATACGTACGGTTATTTTACTTTGTCACTAACCAAATATTATGTTTAATAGTACGTTAATAGTCATAAATATATGAAATTAATTATTTTAAAAATAAATATACAAATAATAGTAAAGTTAACAATTTAACTCATTAAATACGAATATTAAACGTGTGCGGGAGCCATCTAATGAAAGGAGAAAATGAAACGAGCTTGACAACAATATAGATGCGAAAGTTTTAAAGAGATAAAATACGTATAGGTAGATATATATTAAAGTGAGTATTTACTTACGATGAGAAAATAATAATGAGATTTTGGATAGGAATGGACATGATAAATACTATAATTGAAAGTGCCATCATGCATTATTGTCAAAAAAGTTGACTTTGGGTTGCAATTTTTCTTTTCAAGGATAAATTAAGAAGTAATAGGACGGCCGGGAAACTACCAATTAATTTGGGGTAATCGTTTGTTTGACCATGACCTCATTCTCTTGCTTCTTTTTCTTTTTTATATGAGATTCTCTTGTTTCTTTTTTACTTTGTCAATCAATTTCATGACCCAGTTTTCTCATGACGCTAAGGATCTTATTGTGTCGGGTGGTTGGGGCCAGGACCTCTCAGAGTGTGCAGCACAATTTTGCATATGCACTCAAGTCTCAACTATGCCCTGCTCATAATGATTGTCTCTCCTCTTATCTTTGGCTTTTATATTTTTTCCTAGTGGCCCACTCCAACAATATTACCCTGTTGTTTTCACAAAATGGGATGAAAAATGGAGCCTCTCAATAGTACATTTGTCATTTGAGAACCGAAACCCCATAAAATTCTTTCCGAGCCAAAATTCAAGGAAATAAAAAAGCTAAAATTGAGCATTGCCAAGCCAGGTATGTGGCTGCGCATGCCTCACGCCACATCAAAAGGCCAACACATTAACAAAAACAGGAAAACGACACCTTCATAAAGGTGTTCCGGTACTTGCATACATGGATAACACTGCAGTAGCCATCAACTTCCCTTTCCATATATTTTGTTATGTGAAATTACAGTTTTGTTTAGGATATGTACTTCTACTATGCTATAAATTATTGATGTTTTAAAGTACAATTTGACATGACGTTAAAAGTAAAATTTGAAGTTGTACCATAAAGAAATTTGACATTTATATTATGGTACAACTTCAAATTGTACCATAACATAAATGTACAATTTTAGTTTGTACCATAAAAAGATTTCACAAAAGAGTACAGGTACAACCTGAAAATGTATCATAACGTTGAAGGTACAACTTCAAGTTGTACTATAAAGACAAAAACTAAAGCACCAATACTTGAAAGCATTGAAAAATTCCTCTGGTTAGGATATCCATGTTCCATATAAGCGCTGAATAAAGACCAAGGTTGGCCTCAATGAAATTTATCTTCTAGATTATTAATGCTGAGTTAGTTAGTGGGTCAAAACATAAAACTTTTTGGACCTAAACTCAAAAGTCTGGATATTTTTTGAAGCACCTCTGGCTTGAGCTCGTTGTTCTCCTTCTTTAGAACGACAAAGATCCTCTAGCACTACACATGTTGCATTGAACATGTTTATAATTCTCAATATGGAATGATAATGAGATCCCCAACGAGTTGGCCCCGAACGCTTTAAGGATGTCATTTGATTAGCTCCTTGTCCAGATTGAATTTCTCCAACATCCAACATACCATCAAGATCTTTTTTGTGAATTGCTTGCAACTCCCTGATCCGTTTAGGAGAAGCCTTCACAACGTTTATGATACAATCCAATATGGAAAAGAAATCCCATATAGGATCACATACCTTTGCAGAAGTAATCAATGCCAACTGTAATCTGTGAGCAAAACAGTGGACAAAATAGGCATATGGGCAATCTCTAAGAAATAATGCCTTGACTCCATTAAACTGTCCTGACATATTACTAGCACCATCATATCCTTGACCTCTCAATTTTTCAATTTGAAGGTCATACTGAGAGAGAACGTCACAAATAGCTTGTTTTAGTGTTTCTGCAGAAGTATCAGCTACACTCTTGATAGCGAAAAAGCGTTCAGTTACTATACCAGAAGAACTGACATACCTCAAAATAATAGACATATGTTCCCTTCCTGCTTCATCAACTGCTTCATCAACAAGAATAGAGAAACAAGAATGAAGAGTATGAAAGGATGAGCCCGATCAAATTTCGGGGACGAAATTTTTATAAGGGTTTAGGAAATGTTACACCCCGATCTTGCCAAAAGTCAAAATGACTATTATACCTTGGGGAAATTCGTCAAATTCCATCGTAATATCGATGAGGACTAAAAATGCAAACTCTCGGTTCAAACGGTGTCGAGTTTCGATATAAATCGAATAAGTTACGGACGTTAGTTGAGTTGCGGATTACACTCACCCGTAATTTGTGAAATTCCCAAATTACCCCTCGAGTTAATTAAAACCCAACCCCAACCCTATTCTGAAGCTCCACTCGGCAACACTCAAACTAATTAAAACCCTACGCAACCTTGCCATGTGAACGATGGGGGCAAGCATGAGGTGGCTTGCTTTTGGGAAATCAAGGCAAAAGCAAGGCGGCTTGATTATTGCTGTCTCTGTATGGTTCAAAGTTGGGATTGTCATGGGAAGGTAGTAGCGAGTCACATCCAAATAAAGAAGCAAGCAGCTCCATTATTGGGAAGAAAGAAGCGGCGAAGGCATACCAAGGAGAAGCAGCCAACGGGGTGGAAAGAGGAGCTTGCTTCCTCTTACTGTGAGAGCCGCTTGCTTAAGCAAACTGGTCCATTTAATTCAACCAAGGAGAAGGCATACCCAGGAGAAGCAGCCAACGGGGTGGACAGAGCAGCTTGCTTCCTCTCCTACTATGAGAGTAGCTTGCTTAAGCAAACTGGTCCATTTAATTCAACCACCTGCGCAACTTGCTCCACGATAATGACCAAAGCAAGGTGGTCCATCTTTGGTCCATTTCATTCCAATTGTGCCAGGCAAGTTGCTCCTTCCAGTTGTGCCAAGTACGAGTGTAATAAGTTGGAAGCGAGTGGAGCAAAATCAGAGCCAGTTATGAACGGAGGAAAGGTGAGTGTAAAGGGGGTAAATTCTACGCCTTACGGTTTTTCAAGTATTTTCCTTGAGTATTTTCGAGTATTGCTTTACGTGATGTATGTGCAGTATTTGATCCATGTTTGAGATTGCATGATTATGGTTGATGATATGTGCCTTGTTTGAATTATGACTTGAATTGAATGGTTATTACGTACTTTGAAATTTTATGAGTATAAGTTGTTAAAGTTTAAGCAACTAGTTCTTTTTAAGAAGTAACTTACCTTCAAGAAGGTGAAGTCGTTTTAAGTGTTTTTAGTCACTAGCGCCAGTCCGTTGCCTTTTGAGACATTTTGAGATAGAGCAGCAGTTATGCTCTTGAGAATCGTGGTGAAGAGCCACCACGATAAGTTTAAGATGTTAGGGGGATGAATCGTTACGACTCCCCTAACTAAGTTTAAGTTTAAGGAAAGCCTGGATGGCTTCTCATACGTATGAGTTGGCAACCGGACTAGCTAGTGAGGGATCCCAGTGTTAGTCGGATATTTAAGTTGAGATTTGAGCTTTAAGAATACAGTTTTAACAGTTAAGATCTTTAATAGTGGAAGTACGAAACAACTTCTACTAACTTAAGTGATCAAGTTTTAATAAGATGTTAAACGTAAGGGCGTAGACTGACCCCATCTCACTCACCAGTTTGAAGAGGACTAACAGGAGGTAGAGAGCAGCGAGTTCGAGAGGAGCAGTTTGAGGGCAGCCAGCTAGAGGAGGGTAGTACAAGCGCTACAGAGGATGTCTCGTCAAGGCTTTCAGGAAGCAGTAGCATTAGAGACTTTAAAGTTTGAGTTTGCCCAAGTGTCAGGCTTTGTGTTTAAGTAATGACAGTTGTTTTCGGTATTTATTAAAGTTATTTATGAAATATTTCCGCTATTTTTTTCTAAGTATTTTCAGTTCTTATTTTAATTCAAGGTTTATCAAGGGTATTTTGGTAAAAGTAGTACCCGGCCGGGTTAGGGTGTTACATGAATATGTATGTATATCTTTAAATCATTATCTGAGTCTGACTCTGGTCCTGAATCATCAGCACCTTCAGGAGGGTCGGAGCTGTCTGCACTAACGTTGTTCTCTCCTTCTTCATCGGAGGGGTTACTGACTGGTGCTGGCAGGGAATCTTCCATCTGATCCATCTCATGAAAGGCACCATCATCAGCTCCATAATGGTAGTTGTGAAAACTACCGCTGCCTGATTGGAAGTTGTACTGGGGTTGGTTGGCATGGTCCGGTTGAACTTCTTCTTCATATGACGGGAAAGATTGATGATGACCTTCACCTTGCTCTTGGTACTGAAAATAGGAATGAGGATCATGGTAACTTTGGTAGAGATGATCTCCATATAATTCACCTCCACCATGGATAGTAGATGTTTGACCGTCTCCAGAATGACCTCCAACGCCTACAACCGGCTTGGTGTAAACGAACATCTCGGCTTTGGAAAGATTGTTGAGGAACTCAAGAATTCGAGCATGGCATCTACTTCATCCTGAGTGTTTATGAGATATTCCTCGTGCCACAACGACCCGCCTTCTCTGTTTGGATATCGGTACACCATACGATCAACTCTTCTCGTGCCATCCATGCAAGTAAGGTTAGTACACATTTGATAGAGATCTTTAAATATCGGTCTGGTAGCGACCTTTAATTTCTGAAAATTGCCATCGACGTAGGTGACCCCCTTTCCGCTCTCTTCCGTGTAACCATCCAGCGTAACCCAATCGTGAACTTTTGGAATGCCATCTGCAAAAAACAGTAGTTCAACTAATATCATAAAAATCACAATTCACAATTCACAACAAAAAGTAATACAAAATAAACTTATGAGTTAACGTTAACCGCAAAAACAATAGAGAAGTAGGGAGCTATAGTAGAAAATTGACAAGGGAGAAGGAGAGGTGTGAAGAGAAGAGAAGAGGTTTCCCGGACTGTCATTTATAGGCAAAATCATCAATGAAAACCGCACCTTAGAGGTGCGGTTTTCATCTGCCATGCAGCCCCCACGTCTGTCAATCTGCATGGCTATATGTTTGGTGTCGGAAAATAATTGACACACAAACTGCATTGGGGGGGGGGGGGGGTGCGGTTTGTGTTGCCAAAATCGCACTTTGAGGGTGCGGTTTGTTTTGGAGAAGCAAAACCGCATCCCCAAAGTGTGGTTTTGCTAGGTCAGCACAAGACCGCATCTAGGCCATGCGGTTTGGTTAGTTCAGACACAGAAACTGCATGGCCAAGATGCGGTTTTGGCATAGAATGGTAAACCGCACCTGGGGGTGCGGTTCACAATCAAACCGCACCTCTAAGGTGCGGGTTTTAAAAATGGGTGCTATTTTTGTAATTTCTATGGACTGTGTGCTATTTTTGTATTTTTTTTTAAAGGTGCTATTTCTGGAAAAATCCCCCGGATGCACATATAATGGAGTTCAGTGGCATGTGATGCCCTATTAGTTTTTTAAGTGTTATAGCTCTTCCAATTCTCATACTTTAGTGGTACACGAGGTATTTTACCCTGTTTTCCAACATGTCTCCTAGCAAGATAAGGTACTCTTTTTCATTTCCCCATAATTTAATTACCTTGTTTTGCTAACCATGGGTTGAATGTTGTGAGGGCTTGAAATACTCATCTACATCTTTTCATGACGTTTTGATCCTCTAGGATTGTTTTCATCGCTTTAATGTTCATGCTATGCATTTTGGGAGACCTTGATGGGCTATTTCAATGCATTTCTTGAGTTTTCAAAGACCGCCCACCAAGTGTTCGAAGAAAGTCCTCAACTACATAGTTCTCATTTTCTTCAATCCTACTCATTGAGCATCAATTTTCACACACTTGTTAACTATTGTTTACTTGATCGTGTGTGATTGGGGATACCTTAGCATATTTCTTTGTCATTGAGATGCATCTTCATCTAAGTACTCTCTTTTGTGCATGACTTAATCTCACTCAAGTGTGGGGGAAATCTTAGAGAGTTATGGAGAGTTCTTTGAACAATCCTTTCTATGATATGTGATGTTTGGATTTATGGTTTTGCATTTTGTACTACTTGTTTTGAAGGATAATTTATAAGACGAAGGAAATGGCACACGGAGAAAGTTCTTCTAATATTGAGCGTTCTCGAATTTGTCATCCTCGCTAAGACAATCAGAAGAAGAAAAGTAGATCAAGGTAAAAGGAAGTAGATGTTGAAGAACCACATCCACCATCACTCTCTCCCCATCTACCAAGGGAAATACATCAAGATGATGAAGCCAATGTTGAAGGCGACATAGAGCATATCTCTCACTACAATTTGGACAATGTCCCTGAGAAATTTTAGAGCAAAATTTTGTGGCTTCAAGGACTTCCTCTAGGCGAGAGTACATGTTTCAACTGGATACTCTTCGCACAACTTGGGATCGAGGATGCGATCCGATCCAGGATTCAGAAGTTGGAGTGGTTTAAATTGTTATCTATTCAAGAAAGCATCTACCGGGTACTTGTTATTGAGTTCATTCGCACTATTACCATTCAAGATATCATAGGTGCCGCCGACCTTCAAGACAACATCAAATTCCAACTAAGGAGAGCATCGTCAGCTGTCAATTCGAGAATTTACAAGAGCTATGGATATTTAGCCGACGAATTTCATTGACTCACCGGACGCGTTTGTCACCTTGACAAGGGAATCCGACTTTCCATGTTTTAAGTCCTTCTATTAATCTGAAGTTAAGAAATCCGATAGTCGATCGTGGGATGTCAAGATACCAAAGGCTTGTGAGGTGGAACCGGAGTGGCGACTCATCCACCATGTAATTGCTAGGTCCGTGGGTGGAAAGAACGAAACAATGGCAATTTGGCTGCCAGAGACGTCACTTTCTTCCAAACCATGCAGCTACCCTATTCTCTTCACCTATGTTTGGCCATATTGTCAATCTTCAAGCATTATGGAACATATCATAGGCTCACTGCCCTTCATGGAGGAGTTTTTTTCACCCGTCTTGCTAATTATTTTCAAGTCGACTTCGGGGCTGTGCGATTTCGGTTGGATAGTTGGACCACTCCTTTATCCTTTGTCGTCTTGAAGTCGAGAATCAAAGTGGTGCAAATGAATGACTATGGCATTTGGGGAGTACGGGGATTTCCATTTCCAACTACTAATACGTAGGACATGGAGGGTATTGTGTTCCTTCTTTCGGAAGCTATGCAGTAAGAGGATGATGAGGACTAGTCAACGAGGAGGAACAAGTGGGAAGCATGTGCGAGGGAGAAGATGCACCTACATCCACTTCTCATCTGGTACCCCTGCCGTTAAACAATGCAAGTGACTACCGAGTCGAAGCAATGATAGCGACGATCTTTCACAATCAAATGAGGGAGAAGGAAGCGCGAATCCACATCATGGTGTGCATCCATGCTATAATAAAGAAGATGGATTTTCCGATTGACGATGTATCGCCCCAACTTGCTTTCTCCCCTCCACTTTCATCATTTCAAGAAGAAGAAGAAGAAGGAACCTCAGAGGAGGATTGAGTACTAGGCATACAGGGCCTAAGTTCTATCTTTTCTTTTTCTTTGCTTATCTTTCTTTTAATTTTAAACAATGTTTAATTATTCCTTTACTTTCATTAATTTCCCGTACTTTAAATATACTAGTACTACTAGTAGTAGTAATTGTACTTATATTATCTACTTATCGTACCTATAACGCTTAATCGTCTTCCGCTCTTTCTTATGTGATTTATCATTGTGAAAACCACCAGGAAGACAAAGACCTACACTTGTGTAGCTTCACCAACCCACAATCCAACCTATGCTAACCTTCATGATCTTCTCTTTTTAAACTCCCACATTGAGGACAATGTGTTGCTCAAGTGTGTGTGTGTGGGGGGGGGGGGGGGGGGGGGGGGGAGGGGGGGAATGTGTTTGAATGTTTGAATGATTGTCATGATTGATTACGCCATGGATTGCTAGTATCATCCCTTGTTTATGAACGTAAGACATTGATGAATGCTTATGGGAGTGTATGCTAGCGATTGTGTGTGTTTGCGGTGTTGGTTGGCCAAATGATTATGATAGTGTTTTGGAACCTTGAATGCATCACCCAATTTATTTTAAATTTGAAGGTTCCAAAACACTCTGTTCCATGAAATTTCCTACTCGATATGCTTTTAATTGATAGATGATTGATGTGTTGTCCTATCTAGGGAGTAGTTGCATGATTAGAGTACCAATGTATGAGGGATTTTACTCTCTTCTTCCTCTTTGGTGAGTTGATAATGTCTGCTATTTTAGGAAGAACATGTGTGTGGGATTCTCTATCTTTTTTTTAATAAAAAATCTTTCGAAAAGAGGCTCTTACGTGAGAGGCAACCAACCCTCAACGTTCGGAGTGCCCTTTGAGGATATGTTTGTGGATTATATAGCTTTACCGCGTCTGGACCATCTTTTACTACTTACCATCCACCAAACATCTTTCCTCCTCATGGAATAGTATGACAAAGTACTTTTTAGTGATTCATGAGACCTCAAAGCTCTCGTTTGTACCCAACATGTGTGGCAACCCAATGTGGAGTGCACGCTGGGAAGTGGTGCTCGGGCTAAGACAAATCCGCCCATCAACTTCCCCACATGTGACTTTGAAAGGGAAGGCAATGATCCATCGGCTCTTGGTTTTGAGAGAGAGATGCTTGCTTGCAAGAAAACTTGCAAAATATTGGTGCAATGCACGTCAACGTAGAAAAAAGAGACCAATAAAAGAAAACTCTGAAAACGAAAGAAAGAATAAAGAGAACCCCCAAGAGGTCTCGTGCTTATTTGATATTTGAGAAATCCCTCGGTGCACATCTTAAATGTTTAGCCTAAGGTAGTAAGTATGGTCCTCACCCAAGAGTTTGTGCGTGCACAGTAAGATGATAGTAACGTTTTCTCGTCTCCGTATACTCTTCTTTATGAAATGAAGAACAAGAGTGCATCCCACCTTAATTTTTTTTAATCAAGTTGTATTGGTTTGAATAGGTTTGCTTGGGGACAAGCAAACGCCTAAGTGTGGGGGAGTTTGATAACACCTAAATTGGTGTTATTTACCCTTCACTTTGAGTTTTATTTCGTATCAATTCATGTCCATAATCATTTGAATATCATCGATTGCATCCATATTTCCTTCCTATTCGATTATGATGTGATTTAGGGTGCTTTAGACAATACATGCGAATTAGGTATGAAAAAGGACACAAGTGTAGAAAAAGGGGTAGAATGCTGATGACCGTAGCCTATAGGTGGAGATCACGGCCGAGAACAAAGACGACAATCTCAAGGAAAAGATCATGACTGCGATCTTAGAGGATGAGGGAGTCAACTTCGTGAAGAAGCCAGCGATGAGAAACTGAGAGTTTCTCCAATCCGTTCACGGCCACAATTCATTTTGGCCGCGAGGAAGTTCGCAGCCGCACTTAACGGATTGCAACTGAGAAGTCAGCCCGCGAATTCCTCGTCCCCGAAGGTCGAAACCCTAGCGTTAGAAGATCACAACCTCAAGGCGATCTTCATGCTATCCGGTCGCGAACTTCTATGTCCTCTAAAGCCTATAAAATGAAGACCCCCTTCACCCATTGAAGAGAGCTAATTTTGATATAAAATTCCTGTTAAGAGAGAGAAAGAAGAGATAAAATTTGAAGGAAGGTGAAGAGGAGAAGGAGTAGGAGTTAGAAGAGAGGATCCATCTTCCCCAACATCAAGTCTTCGCCAATTTCTTCTATGTATCTTCTTCCCTCCTTTATGGAGTAGTCCTCAAAGGTACTAGGGGTTCTAAACCCCAAACCCTAGTTCTAAGGTTACTATTAATGAATGGATGTTTTAGGGCTACAATGAATGAATGTGTTTATCCATTTGATTTCATGGTTTCTCTAGCTTTGATTGTGTTTGGGTATGTTGCACTAATCTTCTCTACGAGCCTACTTGAGCTTCTACGCTGGGTATGGAGTTTTAGGGTTAGACAGTCATGCGCCATCAAGAAAATTGAGGTTAGATGTATGAATAGGATCCTATGGTGGATGAGGCGACCGTGCTCCTGCTATACGAATGCCTTCCTAGATAGAACCCGGGATAAAACCTCGGTATGGACGGTGGCTAGTACCATTAAAAGGAGCTATGTGCTTAATGCCCCATATATGATAACCTAGATCGAGGTGACTGACATGGGTTTAGGGGAGGCGTACTCGAAGGTGTGTGGATAACCACGAAAACCCATGGAAAAGAGCTCACTCACCACATTCGACATACCCTATTTATCTAGAAATTGCATAGTAGACCTAGGCTAGGGTGAGGGATAGTTCCCCAAAGTATCTGCTTTTATCCTTACTTGTTCTCTTTACCATTATTCTGCTTAAATCCTCCATCAAAAACCCTTAAACTGATCGGTTAGATAACAACAACATGGGAAGTAGTCTAGGGTACCTAGCCTCGTGTGAATATGACCTTGATTGTCACGATATGACAACGCCACTATAGATTAAACTTGGCCTAGGATGGGGTGGTTATTGAGACGTGCTAACTATTGACAATGACTTGCACGGATTGAATCAATCAGATATCCTTATTGATATACATGCACTTCATCCCATCTTGCTATCTTCATGGCACTAGGACTCCCGCGGGTAAACTTGAAGAAAGTATGCAGGGGAGCCTCCGGTGTGTCCTCTCGAATCTCCAAGCTACTATCAGTTTGCTATCAACTCGGATTTCGATGGCAGCTATCAACTCCTGCTCCTTGATCTCCCACTATCCATAGATAGACTTCCGGTGGTGTGACCGGAGAATCTTCTAGCAAAGAGTAGTTTGAACTCGACTCACTCGAAGAATCCTCATCCTCAAACACGCTTTCCGGATCCCTCCTATTGAGTCTTGCAGACTATCGTGGTGCTATAGCCTCGACCTCTTGATGAAAAAGTGCCATCTTCTCCTTTCTTCTTTTTATGCGTCCTAACCATGCGAAAGAGCTTGACATTTTCATAGGTAACATAAGCTAAATTAGTATATATCATAAGGGATAACCCCACACTTTAAAAGCATGGCTTCTTTTATAAGCTAATCATATAAATTCTCAAGTGTGTATTTACAAGAATGTACTCCATATACTTCATTCATCATGAAAGCTCATAAAAGATGGGAAGTATTCTAGATCGAAATGTAGAAGTATCATGAAACACATCTATTGTAAACTTTTAAATCTTTGAAAGCTCCAAGTTATAAGATTAGGCAAAGTTCAATAAGTTGACACAAGTAAAATGACATGCATACGATCCAACATAGTAATGAACTTGAAACTAACAATGTACCACTCCCATTGTAATTACAAAATAAAAACATCTACAAATATTTTCGAAAATGTATCATATATTTTTATCGTTTAAAGTTCAATTTAAAATGTGCTATGTTAAAATTTTGAAAATTTTGGCATGGCCTATACTAAAGTTCATCAATCCATCCAAGAAAACATACGTGCAAAATCATCATAAGAACCATGCAATCTTATTTCTAAGCATATAAGCAATCATCATTCATTTATAAACATCGATTGTGCCTAGTAGACGTCAAAACATTTCAAAGGATTCTCCAACTAATCTCATGCAATTTTAAACTTTGAAATCCTCAATCGACATCAAAATTCATCCAAAGATCATGGTTACTTACTTGGATTAAAGAAAATTTCAAAAATCAAAGAAAACGAGAAAACAAAGAGGAATAGCGGTTGCGGTGTTGCGACGGGCATGGCTGACGTTGCAAAATCCTAGGAGCTTTTGGAAATTTCTTTCACTGGCTTTGTTTAGTAGGTCATGGGTGGGTTGTATCCCAAATTTGAGGTCAAAATTTTGAGTTTTGGGAGAAAATTCGAAACTTAGAGAGAAGTGAGAGGATTTTTGGCTAGAGAGGGGGAAAAGCAAAAATGGTGGTGACTGGGGTGGAATAGCAAAAAAATTACAATTTAAATTGGTGGTGGGAGCGGCTGTGCTGTGCTGCGGTGGTAGGGATTGTCGTGGCTTCCTCGCACGTTTAGCTCGTATACTAGCATTTTTGCGTTAGAAAACTTACCTCGATAGTACGAAAGTTGGTTTTGTACTATTTTTCATTTTTTAAAATCCCTTAACTAGTAATAAGATTGAAATCTGCTCCAAATGTAACTCCTATCCAATTGATAAATATTTTCCTCTTATCAGTAGCTCAAAATTTCAAGCCAAAAACAAACTTTGAATTGATAAATTAATCTAAAAAGGAGAAATTTGGGATGTCTCCATAGTAAAACTTTCATTTAGCGCCATTAAGTTTGATGCCAGACATGAGCTGCATCCTATGGAGCGCTCTCTCTTTTCTACCTTTGAGCTAGGCTCAGCTAGATTCGCTTTTACCTGATATTTCGACCATGTGTCACTTCATCTTCTTCTCCCCGTCCCGTTGTAGGGATATGATCATGGTTGAATACATTAGGTTGATGTTGATCAATGAACTCTTGATACTCCTTTGTTGTCTCATATTCTAGTTCATCAGTCCTTTTAAGCATCATCTTTTCATTTGTACTGCTATCCTTAGTGCCATTTGAGCTTCTTTGAGACCGGGAATTGGTGGAACCTTGTTCGACTCTCCTCCATACATTGGGTCTAGATCATAGTGAGAACTATTATGTTTGTTGAATCCTTAAGATGAGAGCCAAATCGAAATTTGGTCTCCTTGTCTAGATTCTCCTATTGGTACTCCTCGTGTGCATCACTCCTTTTAATTGGTTTCTCCACTTTATGCAGAAGTTTCCCTACTTGCAGGGTTACTTCTCTGTTAACAACATCGATTCTTGCTCCAACATTGGCTAAGAATGGACTTACAACGAGGGTTGAATACTCTTTGCTTATCTCCATGTCAATCACGAGGTAGTGGAAGAAGAAAATGAACCGACCCACTTGGGTGCTTAGGTCTCGAACAATCCCAAGAGCTTTGCATGATGTGTTGTTGGCTAGCATGATCTCTAAGTTGGCGTACTCCACGCGGTTTAGTCCCATTTCTTCACATTTATGCAATAGTAGTATGTTGATTATCGAGCCAAGGTCAATTAGACCTTTTTCCACCTGGTGGTCATCCATGAGACATGTGATGACGATATGCCCTAGATCCTTCTTTGCTTCATTGAATAGGATGGATTTTGCGTAGCCCCAAGGGGTTTATTAGATCTTGGTCTCTTTATCTTTGACCATGTCATCTTTTTTCCATGAAAATCTCCAGCTTTCCACTAAGATGCTCCATTGAAATCATCTTCTCTCATATTGGCAGTGCCGCTTCTATCCTCCAAAAGCTGCTATAATTTTTATGAAGAGGGATGGATTGTTAGCTTCCTTCTTCTCTTCTTCCTTTTTCATGCTCGAGAAAGTTTTGGTTGCTCCAATCCTAGTCGAGATGACCTTAACTTCCTCCTTTGGATTGTTTTTTGTGTTGCTCGGGAGGTTGCTTTGAGGCTTTTGATGTTGACCATCGATTAAGAGTGCAAGTAGTCTTTCAATATTCTTGATCCAAGTCCAAGAAGATAATGAAGAAGTCACAAGGCCTCAAACCCAATTACTAAAAATTTGGGTCTCAAAATTTGCCCTACAACCTTCTAGAATTGTTAAGGCAGTCCATCCTTGATGCCCAAGTCATCAAAGTGTGAAAAGGAGAAGTAAAGATATTACTTAGCTGCTAAAGAGCTTTCTTTAACATTAAGAAACAAGTTTAATTAATTATTTAATTATTGTTATGTTTCCTACTTAGTTTGGAGCTTGTGTTCCTAGTTTTTGGAGGTTAAATTTATGCTTTTTAGAACTCTATAAATAGGCCTTCCATGTACACGAATTTATCACATCTTTTATCAATTCAATACATTGTTTGAGTGCAATCTCGAAGTCTCCCATGGTTTCTTAGTTATTCATGGAATCGAGTAGCAAGAAGGATCAACGTTATCAACTAGATCATCATCCTAGTTGTGGGTCATATGTATAGGTGCTCGGATTATTCCTTCGCTTTTGCTTATTGTTTTGATAACGCTTCTTTGCTTGCGTGCTTAGATTTGATAAGTCAAGGATTCCAAGCCTCGACTTATATCATGACTTTTAGAGATTCATCTTTCTGGAATGAGAACCTCAATGATGAGATGGATTCATTATTGACGAACAAGGCTTGGATTCTTGTGGATCTGCATCAAGGATCTAAAGCTAATGGAAATGAATGGGTATTTCAGACTAAGTGTAACACTGATGGATCAATACATAATTTTCTAGCTTGATTGGTTGTAAAAGGATTTAGGGGTCGTCTGGATGAGAAATTCTAGCGGATCAATTTGCCCAGATTGTCTTTTTTTGAGTCAATCTGGCCAAATTCTATCTGGAGAATTTCAAATTGACTCATTTTGAGGCAATTACAATTGTCTGGGGTGGGGACAAACAATTCGAATTGATTCATTTTAAATGTATTGTTTTGTAAAATGAGACAATTGGTCAAATTGTCTCTTTTTTTAATTGATCCGTCCAAACGACCCGTTAGGCAAAATTTTGGAGTAGATTGCGTTGACACATATTCACCCGTTGCAAGAATCACTTCCATGAGGTGCTCCTAGATTTGGCTTCTATTTACAATCTGTTTGTACACCGAATGGATGTAAAGACATCATTTCTAAACGGCGAGTTAGATGAGGAAGTGTACATGGAGAAACCATAAGTGTTTTGTTGCCTGGAAATGAAAGAAAGGCGTGTAAATTGCTTAAGTCTTTGTATGGACTAAAGAAAGCACCTAAGCAATTGCATGAGAACTTTGATTCCATTATCTTGGCTCATGGATTTTCTCATAACTCTGCAGACAAGTGCATTTACTCAAAGTGCACGAAAGAGTATGTTGTCATTATGTGACTTTAAGTGGATGATATAATAATAGTAATTACCATGAAGGGAATAATTGACACTAAGAAGTATCTAACTTCGTGTTTCCAAATGAAAGATCTTGAAAAAATTGATGCTATTTTGGGAATCAAAGTAAAGAGACATAGTGGGGGGGGGGGGGGGTTTCGCTTTGTGTCAAGTCACATTATGTCGAGAAGATGCTCAAGAAGTTGGAGCTTTCGGACATAAAAGCAAAAAACACCCCTTATGATTCTTTTTTAAACTTAGTGCTAAGGAGGGAAGAGCAGTGCACAAGTGGAATATTCTAGTGCTATATGAAATTTGATGTATGCAATGGGTTATACCAGACCCAATATTGCATTTGTTGTATGCAAACTTCCTATATTCACTAGTAATCCTAGTGCTGATCATAGGAGAGTTATAAGATAAGTTTTTGGTTATCTAAAAAGAATCAAAGATTTAGGACTCTTCTATAGCTTCCCCAATACGTTGGAAGAATTTTATTATGGTAGTTGGATAACAAGGGCTAGTGATAATAAATCTACAATGGGGTGGAGTTTTACACTAAGTGGTGGGGCTGTTTCTAGGTCTTCGAAGAAGCAAACGTGTATTACTCGCTTCACTATGAAAGCCGAATTCTCAATCCTTATGGCGGGTGGAAAAAAGCCAAAATGGTTAAGAAAAATGTTGCTACATATAGAGTTATGGCCACAACCAATACTAGCAATTCTGGTTTTTGTGATAGTGAGGCTACTTTGTCTAGAGCTTATAACAAGATTTACAATTGTATGTCTAGATATTAGCCTAAGACAGGATTACGTTAGATAGTTGATTACTAGTGGAATCATTTATATTGTGTGTGCTCATGAAACAGGATCATCACATTACCATAATAGTGCAACCCCGTTGGGTTTGTGGTTTAGAGAAGAAACGAGGCATGTGTGGCATCTCCGATTTTAGGTTTGAATCATGGCTCCTAGGCTTAAGCACGTCACTGATTTTCTATCACACTTGACTTGATTACACTAATTAAAGGTTAAAATCAAAAAGACACCTTCATGTATGCGTTACTTGATTGAAGCAAGTACTCTCAAATCTAATTAACTAACTGGAGGATTATTAGAGCAGTCAAAAGAGTGGAAATGCCACATTGGCGAGAGAAGGAAAATGCAAGTGGTTTATAAGTCTCCTTTCCACTTGACTTTATTGGATAAAGTGATTACTGGCTTTTTAAGGAAAAGTGTGTGCAATTTGATTTGACATATTAAAGCGCACTTCGCACTTTGCAAGTTTGCGGGACACGATCAGAATTGAATTTTTTGCTGTTTATTTAATTAATTTTGGATTCGACTCTCGAATTATGTATATTCTTCTCTCTTGATGTTTTGTTAGTTCCTGGCTCCATTTTCAATTTAGTTTGTGTTATAAATTAGTAGCTAAGGTTCCTCTTGGATTGACATTTGTTAATAATCATTGCATGATATAGGACCTCTAGTCATCGAGGATGACTGGTAAAACTATACTTCATTATGGCTTGTACCAGATGGAGGATCCTGACACTATAGTTGTCGTTTCACACAAATTCACCAGTTTTAAATCAATTCACTATAAGATCTCTTATAGTTACAACCTTTGGCATTTTAGATTATCAAGTTTCGCCTGTTAAAATTCAATTGTTACAATCCATTGGCCCTTTCGTCAATTTGAATAAAGAGTTAAATTATTTTGTTTATCCTTGTGCTAAATAGAACTGTTTGCCTTTTCACATAATTAATATGCTTCTACTAATTGTTGAACGAATATGCTTTACTGTTTAAGTCTCATTTACCTCCCATTTATAGGGATCATGCAGTTGCTCATTATGTCGACCTTATAAACTTACTACCTAGTGAGATATTAGATGATAAAACCCCCTAAGAATTGTTGTACAAACGAAATCCGTAATAGTTAGAGACTGTTTGGATGAGGGGGTTTATGTGCACTATTTTGCCGCAATCCTAAAGAATTTGGGATTTTGGAAAAATGACACGTTTGCAAAGGCTGTAAAAATTTATGGTTTATGGACCTCGAGGATTTTGAAAACTTACATTTTTGGGTTTTGAAAATAGCTTGCCTCCCTTGTCTACTTTCAAATCTTACATGTTTACCTCTTTTATTTCCAAAATTAACCTTCCTTCCACACTGAACTCTTATCTTCCCATCTCTAATGCTTCCCTACAATCAATAGTTTCACCACTAATGTTGGTCGTCTTTCCTCTCGTCCAACTTCTTCCTTCGACCTCTCACTCTCTCTCTCTCTCTCTCGGTCTCTCTTTCCTACAATTATCACTGCCACCACCAATGCCAACTTTCCTATCATCTGCATTTCGTCTCTACTCCTCCACCCTTCTTCTCTATTCCATAAAGAACATATCTTGTTGTCTCTACATCTCTGCTCCTCTACCCCAGGGGTGCGAATTCGGTTTGGTAAAGCCGAACCAAACGGTACTAAAACCAAACTAAACCAAACCGAAATCAAACTATTGCTATTTAGTTCAGAATTTGGAAGGAAAATATGAATAATTTGAAAACCAAGGTTGCTTCAACTAAACTGAGATTTTGAATTTCGACCAGAGGTTTCAAAATTTGCTTCTTGGGCCCAATAATCATCCCAGATCCAGCCCCCTTAAGCCCAATAACCCGAATCCCAGGCACCACAACCCTTCCAGCTCTAACAAAAAAAAAACTATTCCACTCTTGCCTCTCCCCTCTCGAAAGACTGTCATATCTCGCCGCCATCGGCGCTCACTTCAGAAGAAGATCAGCAAGTCAGGGGGTGACCGTAGATTCAAATCCTGCCACCGTTCTTGTAGCAAGCAATGTTGCCGGCTTCTGTCCAATAAAATAACATGAGTGCCTAATATGAAAGGTCATAGATAAAATAGGTCGGCCCTGCCTACAAGCGTCATATGAGAAGAGATAGAGAGAGAGAAAAAGGTATGAAATAGGACGCGACGCCCAATACTTCTTTCAGATCTGAAGGTGAAAGGAAGGGAGAAGTCGAAGAAGAGTAGATCTTCTTGGCATCGATAAAAGAGGTAAGAGCATTTCTATATTTCGGCCAAGGGAAGCGAGTGAACTGGAAAGGTGATGCCGCGTCGGATGATTCTGGTGCTAGCAAATCATTGGTGGTGTTCTCGATCTTGAGGAGGGCAGTGTACTCTGCAACACCAATGGTGTAGCTGACGGTGGTACACTCCCTTCTCTCCGTTGTCATTCTTCCCCGCCACCTTGCCTGGAGCCGCTTCCCTTCCTTCCATGGGTTCCCTCATCTATTGATTTTTAGTGTTTTGTGACTGCATGTAGAGTGGAAGAAAAGAGAGAGACGAAGAGGGGAAATGAACGGGAAGAGAAAAAGAGAGGGAGTCAATCATGGCTTGATATGAGATAAGAGCATATTAAAAATCACCCGAGAAATGATAAGTGTCGGTTCGGTTCGGTTTAAGCCTTCGTTTTGAACTGACCAAACCGAAATATATTTTGGTTCAAAATTGGTTTGAGGTTTGGTGGGCATTAAGGACCCGGTATGCTCCATTTCTGTTTGGTTTAGAACAAATGAAACCGATGTCTACCCCTACTCCGCCCTATGTCTTCTCTCCAAAACAAATGCCTTCATTTTTCCCTCACCCAGCCGATTGTAAATTTGGACGGGAACTCGTATGAATTTTGGAGACGAATCAAAGTGTTTTCAACAATGAGTCTAATTCAACTCCATCTCAAGTGTGCATGCATTAGCCACTGTAACCAGTACAATTCTACGGCATGGGCAAGCTGTAACATGTGTGATTCTTGTCAATGATTGCCCATGAAAATCAAGGTTTTTCTTCAATCTTCATCCCTTTGAATTTAAGGTTTTGGGATTCTTCGATTCATCATTCCGTCTAAAAATAGGATTTTTAGGATTCTTTGATTTATCATTCTATCTTGCCAAAAATTGATTGTTTATTAAGTTTGGAATGCTATGCTATCATCGCTCCCAGAGAAATGATGCAGCGATAGCTATGAGGAATGGTCAAGCGCCTTGTTGGATGCTTATCTTGCGCGTACCATTCTAGGTAGTCTATTCTTGTACAAAAAGACTGTGAGACCAGTGAAGCTCGGTATAAAAAATGGCGCTGACATATTATAGGTTACAGAAAAAGAATAAAGGGAGAAAAAGACGACGATGAACAATAAAGGGACAAGATAGACTTCTTATTTATTTATTTATTTATTGAAAACCCAAACATTGAGTTTGGCCCAAATTTCTTTTTTGAATGATATTGGCTTACGGATGTGGGTTAGGACCAAAATCTCTCAAAATAAAATTATCCATCCAAACAACCCCTTAGAGTCTTTGTATCTTTATGTTATGAATCCACCCTACAAAATAACAGGTCCAAGTTGGCTTCTAGTAACTCCATGTGTTTTTTAGGCTCTGTTGCAGGAACTAAAGGTTACAAGCTATTCAACCTCAACACACAAAAAAAAATCCATAGATGTAATCTTCAAAGAGCACATTTTCCGCTTTCAGACAATGCAAAGCCACAACACTCAACATGTACATAATTCACTACTTAACATCTCTCTGCTTATTTCTTTTCAAATTCCATTAACTATCAACACACTACCTCCTTCCAACTTACAACCAACCCCGCCAATCCACCTAATATAACATTCTCTATTACTTCCAAAAGCTCTAGCACAAGCACATCCAGCAGTACCAGAGGCTCTTCCAAAATACCTTCTAGAGGAGACGACCAGCTACACCACTTGAGCCACATTTAAAGCTTTCTTAAGTTGAAGGCAAGCTACTTCTCTAAGATGAAAAGATAACATATAAACCCTAGTAAGTAAGTTGCAATACCTTTGCAACGCCAAAGTAAATATCTGGTTCAAGATTCATCTACTTAGTTAATTGGTTGCTTACCCACGTACTATACATCAACAAGCTTCACAACGAGTTCTCAAATAAATTAAAGCAGCTCCAAGTCATGGACTCCACTTCTCTGCTACACCATCCCTCATCATTCAAGCTTATTCATATTCTAATTGGTCATGTTGCATTGACACTAGATGGTCTACCATGGGCTATTGTGGGTGATGCTTGATCACTCACTAGTCTCATAGACAGTCCAAAAACAACAAGTGAACTCCGGTTCTCTATAGAGGTAGCATACGAGCTATGACTAACACTACTTGTGATGGTCAATCTACCATACACATGGCAGTAAATCCATTTCAACACAAGTGTATGAAGCACATCGAGTTTACCTGGCCCTTCTTTAGAGACTGATGACACATAGAAAGTACTATTTTAGACCCCCTCATATTATGGACAAAAACTTCATGGTTTTCACATATTTGTCGTCATTATATCTTGAATTTGCTTCATGATCATTTAAAGTGTGTTTTAGTAGCTTTAGAATTGCTTTATCATTTTGATGCAATCGTGTAGTGTTTCATGTGTTTTTAGGGCATAGCATCCTAGTGGACCACTTTGTGCGTGTTGGGAGACATCAAGACTCGACTGCTAGGAGCAAGAATCTAGCATAGATAGAAGTCAAGAAACGACGCCAGACTCAGTAATCTAAAGTCCAAAGCGATGCCTTAGCTGGCATTTTGGAATTGTCCAGAAAATGCACAAATTCACCCAGAATATTCCTTTCGTGGTGTCTAAACTAGAGGGAGACTTTTTGGACTCGGAATAAGAATTTAAGATCAAACTATCCTCCCTAAAAAGCCTACAAATAGACTTTAGGAGGTAGAAGTTTGGTAGCCAGTGTTAAGAGCCATTAGATATAGTGAATCCTCCGAGTTAGAGTAAAACCAGCTATGAAGGGGTGGCCTAATACCAGCCTTCATGAAAGCGCGCCTAGGCGTCCGCTTTTGCGGAATTAAGCTCTAGGCTTTCAGCCAATGCTTTGCTTTACCCATAGGCGTTAATATCAGCGCTGGAAACGCTTTTGCATGAAGAATTGCGCCTGAGTAGCCATTAGTAGTCCAAGGCGTTAAAAAGCGACTAAGTGGTGGTGGGACGAGGTCACCATTGAGAGTCTGAACCACAATGACGCCACACTTGATCATTCATTCTTCCTCCTCCCATTTGTTCCTCGTTGAACCAAAACCCATAGCACAAATTATCAACAACAACAAAAATCCAGAGCACCCAAGCTTCGAGCTTTCTGAAGCTCAATTTATCTAGAGCATCACGAAGGAGATGATAGAAATGTCGATTGGCCACATTTAATTCTCCCGAGAAGGAATCTGAGAGACCCAGAAACTCAAATTTGGGGGTCTCGTCGCCCGATGGTTGCGGGGTTGCCGTCGTCGCCGATCGTTGCAGCTCTTTCCAGCTATACTATAATATCTTATCTCACATGACAACTGTGACCCCCACAATAGAGCGACGATTGTAGGAGACAACTACGATTGTGACCCGCACAACATAGCAATGCTTTTAGGAGATCACATCGACTGTGACCTAATATGAAACGATTCAACATCTTCTTAAAATCCTCACGGTTCTTGTCATTCCCTCAATTGCTCTCGGTCGGATCCTCCAATTTGACACAAAAATGGGAATACGCCCAGACTCCTTAAATTTGAATCCCAAACCTATGATCTAGAGAAGAACAATGAAAACGAATCTACAGAGAACTTTACGGCGACCGCTTCTGGAAAATTAGGCAGTGGAACGAGGGAGAGAGAAATCGTGAGGGAGAAGGGAAGTTGACCGTCGATTAGCCACTGCAAGTAATGAGGAAGAAGGTCGGGTTCTTCGCTTGTGGGGGATGAAGGGTGGTGAGAGAAATTTTGGAAGTTACAAAATTGTAGTAGGCACAATTGGGAAAAAAGTAGATAGCGTGGGATTTTGGAATAGCTAATAAAAAATTAACAGCTGAGGGTTAATCTCGAGATTCTTCAAGTTTGTAGTTTTGTTTGGAATTTGGCCTCTTAATTAAAGGCATCAAAGTTGCCTACCTATTGCAATGAATAGTTTCATGGGTGAAATAGATTAGATGAGATGGTTAGTTTGGATCATATGAAGTTATTCTAAAAAGGTTGAAATTGGGAGAAGGTTTTTCATTTCTGCTCCGAACGTCTAGGTGTGCTTAGGCGACGCTTAAGCAGGCGATGTGCAAGCTAGGAGCCGAGTGCTCGCCTTACGCCTAAACTTTTTTGCACCTTGCTTCATTCATTGTGCTTTCTCTATTCTCTGTAAAACAATTAAATCTTTCGATTTTTTGACAATTCAACCGACTAAACAAATTCCTGGGAAGCTTTCTTATGTGAAACGAAACAAGAAAGTGGGGCGGCTTTAGTCTTGAGAATTTAAGATTTTCGTTTCTTTTATCTACTTAATTAAATTACTGAAGAATATTTAGAAGATAGAACATTTAGGAACTGGGAAAAAAAGAAACATTGGAGAGACACCCGAAATTCCAAACCCGAAGCGCAAACTAAATTATAATCTGTCTTCTTCCTCTACCAACGTAACGAATAAACAACACAGAAAACACACAGCCCAACCCAATCCCAGCTACGTGCTGCTGCCGCTGCTGCTGCTGCTCATCATTTTCCTTTTCTTTTTCTTGTTTTTAGAAAACCCCACAGGAAAGCTGAACGCTTCAGTCTTTGTATTGGAGACTGGAAACATAATCAGATCCATTCTCTTTCTCTCTCCCCTCCACTCTCCAGCATCATTTCTTTTGCATTTTCGGCCCCAAACATTTTAATATCAGCATGATTTCATCACTACGCACGCTGTATTAATATCCCCCACATGCCCAATCCCTCTCCCCCAAAACCCAAATGTCATTATATTATTATTATTATTATTATATATAAATGAGATTTAACAAACAATACCAAGAAAGGTAGCTTGCAGCAGTTTTCTAGGCTCTCCCCAAAAAGCAACGCAAGCTAGCTACTCTGTTTTGTTTCTGTTTTTTTGGGGTTTGATTTTAGGAGAAGAAGAAGAGGAAGCTTCAGTGCATTTTACTTACGCTACTGTTGTTGGAAGAGCTTTGGAAATGGCGACGAGAAGCTAAAGGAAAAGGAAAACTGCTAGTTCCGATCTCAACCAGGGAAGAAGGGAATGGCGATTTCAGGAAGCTGTTGCCTGGACACAACAACAACAGCAAGAAACCAAAGGTGTAGTCGGAAGAATCAAAATTGCAGCTGCCGCCTTCTCGATCTCAGAACAGGACAAGCACAGCAACGACAACAAGAAGTAGCCCACCCGCAGCAATGTAGCAGGCAGCGAGACTTACAAACTACATCGACAACAACATCAACAGAATCCTCAGATTCAGGGCTAGAAACGAAAACCCAGAAGCTCAATTTCTCGAATGAAGGCGTGGCGGAGTGCAGCCCGTTTTGTCACGCTAGCAACGGCAGCATCATCATCAACAAAGGGAAAATCTCCCCTGTTTTCCTCTGTTTCCTTCTTCTCTTCCTAATTTCCCCTTCTTCCCCAATTTTCACATTCGTTGTCTCCTCTGAGACCGGGAACAACGGAACCCACCAAATTTTGCACCCTGGGGAAGAGTTACAGAAGTTGAAAAGCATCAGGGAGCGACTCAACAAGATCAACAAGCCTCCTGTCAAGACGATTCAGGTTTTTTTTTTTTTTTTTGTCTCTGTTATATCCGTCCTTTCTGGTCATGTCCTGTTCTCTCTTGGTTCTTAATTTCCCACCCAAACTCTAATTTGTCTTTTTGTTTCTTTTTGATCAACAGAGTCCTGATGGCGATGTCATAGATTGTGTTCCGTCTCACCAGCAACCCGCTTTCGATCATCCCCAATTGAAAGGCCAGAAGCCATTGGTACAATATGTATATTTCCCAAGTATTCAAGAAAAAGCAAATTCTTGGGGCAAAGTCAAGATTGGAATTTGCTTGATCAAATAATGCTCTGTTCTGAATAATGGTATTTTTCTGAATTGGGCAACATTTGCAGGATCCACCAGAGAGACCAGAGGGGCATAGTCAAGCATCAACAGCAGGGAGTGCAGAAGAGAATTTCCAGGCGTGGAGGCTGTCGGGGGAATCGTGCCCAGAAGGAACGATTCCGATCAGAAGAACGTCGGAAGAGGATATGCTGAGGGCAAGCAGTTTCAGATCATTTGGGAAGAAGCTCAAGGGGCACGTCCGCAGAGACACCAACAGCAATGGCCATGAGGTGACTCTCTCTCTCTCTCTCTCCTCTCTCTTTGCTTCAATTCTTGAACAATTTGCCACACGCCAATGGAAAAAAGGAAAATGGGCAAGAGGAGAAACAAAAACAAAAAAGAAACCAAGCAACTCAGATTTCATTCTTGTTTTCTTTCGCTTCACGTCTAAGAAAAAAAGAAAAAAAAAAGCATAAAGGTGGGGAATTTGAGTCAAACAAAATGGCATAAAGCAAAGTGACTTCTGCTACTGCTAGTGCTCGCTCAGCGTCCTCCTCTCTATCCCTTTGCTTTTTCTTAATCTTGTCTGGGTTTTCTCATTGTCCAGACAAAACTACAGTTAAGAGTAATAGTGAGAAGATTAGTGTGGTAGCCAATAATCCAAAAACCTGCTTTCTTCCAAACATTTTCTTTTTATTTATTTATAATTCCATAAGGTTTCCATCTCGAGAACTCAATCCAATAAACCCAGTGGCCACCCACCCACTACCAGAACCAGACTGCTTTTCTTCCTTTTTTTCCCATCATTCCCGGGAATGGATTCCTTCTGCCTTCCATTTCCATTCCATGTAGAATTTCTCAGGAGATAGTTTATTTTTATTAATTATTTTTTTCTGTTGAAATTGGGACAGCATGCAGTTGGATATGTGAGCGGCGATCAATACTACGGAGCCAAGGCAAGCATAAACGTGTGGGCTCCGTCGGTGGCGAACCAATACGAGTTCAGCCTGTCGCAAATGTGGGTCATCTCCGGCTCCTTCGGCGACGATCTCAACACCATCGAAGCTGGTTGGCAGGTACGTAAGTCACCTTTCAATACAGTGAGTTTGATTTACGTGCGATTGACCTACCTGTCTCCTAATACAACCGAAAAAAAGATGGACGGATACATTACAACAACGTCTAACCTAACTAACTAACTAACTAACTAACTAACTGGGCCATGAAAAGGACAGCTAGCGAAGGTTTCAGTTTGCCATTCTTATTGATCTAATTTACTTAGTCGTCGTCTTTGCTTACTACAAGCCAAGTTAATTTGCACGGAAATTGCTGGGAAGGAAATTTCCGTAACACGCAACAACATGCATGGGAATGGGGTTTATATATTGTCTGTTTGTAGTTAATTACGCTCCAATTTTCAACGCAATTTGGAGCTATGTGTTTGTTGATTTGGAAGGTTTCGCATTTAATAACCCAGGCCACTAGTTGTATAGCATTTATCAATAATATATTATTTCATTTACTTACTTGGTGGCAGGTTAGCCCTGAACTGTATGGGGACAACTACCCCAGGTTCTTCACGTACTGGACTGTGAGTATATACTCATTCACTCTTTTCTTCCCAATACGTACATTACATTTGACAATCCACTTCAAACTGCTCTAAACTTTTCTCATTACAACTTCCAGACAGATGCTTATCAAGCAACTGGGTGCTACAATTTACTCTGCTCAGGATTCGTCCAGACCAACAGTCGAATCGCGATCGGAGCCGCCATTTCCCCAACTTCCTCGTACACCGGTGGCCAATTCGACATTAGCTTGTTGATTTGGAAGGTAAAAAATGGAAATTCATAACTGTAATGTATAATGGAACATTATTGTGATTGTGGGACAATGGGAAATTCATATATGTTTGTGAGTTTGTGATCGATCAGGACCCGAAGCACGGGAACTGGTGGCTGGAGTTCGGGTCGGGCGTGCTGGTGGGTTACTGGCCGTCTTTCTTGTTCACGCACCTGCGGGAGCACGCGACGATGGTGCAGTTCGGAGGGGAGACGGTGAACTCGCGGGCGTCGGGGTTCCACACGGCGACGCAGATGGGGAGCGGGCACTTCGCCGGGGAAGGGTTCGGGAAGGCGTCCTACTTCAGGAACCTGCAGGTGGTGGATTGGGACAACAACCTCATCCCTCTCTCCAACCTCAAGCTGCTCGCCGACCACCCAAACTGCTACGACATCCAAGGCGGGATCAACACAGTCTGGGGGAACTACTTCTACTATGGAGGCCCTGGCAGAAACATCAGATGCCCTTAATTAAGGATTTTTCTTCTTGCGGTGGGTTTTTCTCTCAAATTGAGGATTTGGGTTTTTCTTCTTCTTCGTAATTAATTAATTAATTAATTTCTCTCAAATGCCCCTCACGATCTCTGCCTGGTGTTTAATTTCCGTTCGGAAGTACTAATGGGGGATGCGTTGACTATACAAATCATTGGTTAGGGTTTGTTTTCTTCTGTAAATTTAAGCCAAAAAAAAAGGGAGGAAATTGTAGTGGTGGAAACACTAATTAAATATATATATTATTATGCTACATACAAACTATATATATATGGTTTGTGAGCTCAGTTTTGTGGAGGAAGAAAATAAACTATTTGTTGTGTGTGGAAAATAACTATCTTCAGTTATGGTAATTTTGTTCATCTTCTCTCTTGTCATTTTTATGGAAGATTTTCCTAGGAGTATAAAATGTTAACGGTATATTATTGAATGCTGCAACTAACAAACTGGGCCCAAAATGGCCCAAACATGTCATTTAATCCTCAGCACATGCATGCCTAAGGTTCCTAAATGCATGCAAAGTGCCCTAAAAAGATGAAAGAAAAAGTAAACATGCCCTAAGAATGGACTGTCCGGAAGTAGCCCCGCCCCAGCTTTGTTAATTGGTTTCTGGTGGTGGGAAAGAGAGAAAGATAAAGCTGTGAAATGAAATGATAACTGCACTCCACACATGCTATGTTATAGTTCCATTCCCAATCTGGCCTCAAAACTCACTCCCGTAATTCTCTCTTTTTTCTCCATTTCCCTTAAAAGTGAAGAGTAATTAATTAGGATGGGGCTACTTACAGGAAACACAATTAATTTGCTGCTGCAATACATTCATCATATCGTATGGTCCACAGTATGCATAATTAGGTTCCCTTACTTTGTATGGACATAATAGTTAGGTTCTTCATGATCAATTCCCTTTAGTATTCTCAACCCCACGTACCCACTTGTCTATAGTTTTCTTCGAGTTAAAGCAAACCAATACTTCTTTTTTCCTCCTTCCCAACTCATGATATTCTTGTATAGGTTGTATTCATGAGGGAAGGGATATAATTACGAATGTTGGTTAATAAAATTAGTATTATGTCTTCTTTTTACGAAGAAAAAGTCTTAGTCACGTTTCTCACATTGGAGATGTCGCAGGTATGCTAAACTCAGGTGTCATCTACTATAATCCGAGTGATAGGTCGGAGGTGAGGGGTGTAAGCAATGGCGGGCCCAAGCCATGTCTCGGAACACCCCCTAAAATTTGTGAGAATAACTTATTCTCGCATTGTTGTTTTTGTTCCTCTTACTTCATCCTCTCACTTTTTTCCCTTTTTTTCCAAATTTTGAAATTCCTAAATTCAAGCCTAGAGTCAAATCTCATTTTCGCCCTCAACAAAATTTTGAAAAGTCAATTCTAATTTCCGTCATCAACAAAAATCATTATTGATTTATTCATTTATCGAGTTTCATTAAGATTTGAATCCAATGGCAGATCCAAGGAGGGCCTGCCCTAGCTACAATCTAGCCCTCCTTTGGGTCTAGAGCTAGTATAGCAATATAAATTTTTTGAATTTAGATATTTGGTCTATTAGGCCCGGCCCTAGGAGTGTGCCAGAAGACCCTCCGATATAGGGCCTCCAAATTACGAGGGCCTTCGATCCAGTGGGGGGATCCTTTGGATTTAAAGGGTATCCTGTGACATCTCTAAAATTTCGGAAAACGAATATTCGATTCTCGATAATAGCTTGTGTACGGTTGAAAAATATTTAAGTGGTAGCAGGACATCTCTAAATTTGGAAAACGACTTTTTAACCCCTGGTAGTAGTTTGCGTACGGTCAAGTAAAAACATTTAAGTGGTATCCTATGTTATTTGAATTTAGATCATTGCTACTATTAGTAAATATATTTTTCATTAGAACACAAACTCATGTATTTTTCATTTTTAATCCAAATATAATAGTAAAAGTCTATTCCTTATTCCAATTATTTTCAAAAGCTAACGTTTAAATCCAATTATTACCTCCCCTTGTCTAGTAAGATATATCGAGAGAGATTTGTAGAGCATTGTTAGAGATCGAATGTATTTTACATTTTTTCATAATACAAAACACGTCATGTGCTTTTGTTATAATTTAGTTACTATTTGGACTCTGATATTTAATTTAATTTTTCTACTTAAACCATTAGCACTCTTTATTTTAAATATTATTGTTTATAATAATATTTTTAATTTTGTTTATTAATTTACTTATATTTCATTAAATTTTATAGAAAATTGGGTCTCATTTTATTTATTGAACTGGACCTCTACATTCTCAAAACCGACTCTGAATCTAATACTAGTCTGGTCATGATCCCAGCCTCTAAGCCTCTTTCCGAATGCAACCCAATACTCAACTATGTACTTGATTTGAATCTACATTTCTTCTCTCTCTTTTTTTGGTAGAAAGACAGACGTCAACGACGTCTAGGATCATATATTAATAAATCGAGGTTGGGAGATTCCCATAACATCATAATCTAACCACCTACAAAGATCAGGGCAACACACATCAACATGATGTGTTCCAAGAGGTAGGCTATGGCCAAGACTAGCAATATAGTCAGCCGTTCTATTTCCTTCCCTATACACGTGAGAGACAATAACATCCCAATCACGACTCAAAAGGCTGCATACATGTTGAGCCAGAAGACCATGTCTATGATAATCATCCGTGCAATTCATGATGATATCCACCGCAGTGGCAGAGTCAAGGTTCAGCTGAACTTTACGGTGATCTCTGTCCCAGGCCATCTGAAGTCCCACCACTGCTCCTTTGAGCTCTACTGCGGTGATCGAGCAAGTCCCTAAGTTAATTGCAAAGGACACAGGACATCTTCCCAGTCAGTCTCGGATGAGCCCTCCAGCAGCTGCGCTTTCTAAGGGAGAGAGGACAGACACGTCAGTTTGGATTTGTACCCATCCTTCAGGTGGGGGATTCCATCCGATATGTTCTTCTCTTCTCACAGTGGAAGGGGCAAGGCTCTTTCCCACATTCTGTTGAGCCATCTTGTAGATCTTGAACCAAGCATCAATCCTGCAAATAAGAGATTTCTCCACACAGTTTACCATCCATACATTCTTCATTTCTCTGTTTCCAGAGGTGCCACACAATCAGGCCAAACTCCACTCCATAGACAACATTGTTGAGATTGCGTGTCATCCAGGTAGTGAAAGGCAGAGAGCTGTCATCACACGTGGCTCTGGATTTGAACTTCTCCCAAATGTTTCTCGTCTTGTTGCACCCTCTAATGATGTGTTCCGTGGTTTCATCAACGTCCTTGCAATGGCAATAGGTTCCATCAGTGGTGAGTTTCCTCTTGATTCGTTCCTTGTTAGTGAGCAGTCTGTCATGCATCACCAACCATAGGAAATGTTTCTTCTAACAAGGTTAACTATAGATAATGTATTAGTTACTAAATGTTAAAATAGAAATTGATAATCAATAAAGATTATGAAATCACATTGCTAAATAATTAATTATATGATTTATAATATAAAATAGCCTTCATTTGCGATAGTTCGAGTGATGCCATTGCCAGATCTACTATACGCAATTAGTCATTGCTTATATGGTTGTAATAAGGTTTACAATAGATAATATATTAGTCACTAAATGTTAAATTTCTAAACCATCATCTGTACATATTGTGATAATCAAATTGATAAGTAATTAACTATATGATTTATAATATAAAATAACATGCATTTGAGATAGTTCGAGTGATATTATATTGAAGATGAGATTGCAAATTCATGTTAGAATCTCCAATGTATGCTTGATTAGTCATTCTATATAAGACCATAAAATAGTAAATTAGCCATGCCTTTCACAAAAAATTCAAGATTCTTATTTGAAAGACTACAATTTGAAATACCAAAAAGTTGAAAAAAGATACAAAAAATTCATTCATTCTTTTTCATAAAAAAAAATGAAAACACACAAATTTTTCGTATTTTTCTTCCCATAATAAAAAACACTCAAGTTTCCCTGTTCAATCTCTTCCAAAAAATTGAAAGCACAAAATTTCCTACCAAAAAGTTGAAAATACAAAAACTTTCCCACTTATTTCTCTTTCCATAAATTAAAAACACCAAACTTTCTCACTTCTTTCTCTTCTCACATATCAAAAGCGCCAAAATGAACCTTTCTTTCTTTTCCAAAAAATTGAAGCACCAAAATTTCCTTTAATTTCTCTTCCCAAGAGGTTGAAAACACCAAAAAAAATTTCTATTTCTTAAAATAATCAAATTATCAAATAAATTACTATACTCTATTTAGATTCAATTGATAACTTTGTTGAACAGTTAAATTAACCGAAAGTTCAATGTATATATGCTACATTAATGTTATACATTGTCTCATTTATCAATTATTTAGTATCATAATGATATTATGTTGATTGTATTTTATTTTTTTAAATAACTTAATGTTCAAGTGGTTTTTGTAATTTTATTAAAAATGCATCGTTTTAAGTGAATTTCACATTTATATTTTCGTTACAAAATGAAAATGGCTTTATTTAGGTTTAGAACAAAAAACTTCAGAAAGACTATATATTATGTAATATATTAATTTTTTATGTCAATCTGGTGGGTCACGGCTCATGGGTTAGTCAGGTTCGGGTAAATCAGATGGGATTTTTCCAGAAATAGCACTGTTTTAATTTTTTTTTCCCAAAAATAGCACCCAACTCCGAAAAATTCCAAAAATAACACCCTTTCCCAAAAACCGCCACCCGTACCAGCGGTTTAGGCGAAAACCGGCACCCGGGGGCGCGTTTTTTTATGAAAACCGCACTGGTAGGGGCGGTTTTGCAGACCGCAACCCCACCATGCGGTCTGGGGGGGTTTTGTTTTTTTTTTGAAAAATCCTAACATAGGTGGAAACTTCAAACAAACGTATCTTTGTGTTCGCGTATCTGATCTTCGCGATTTTTTTTATTTCGCATAATTTTTCAAGATTTTGCAAGCCTATGACTACCGAAGATGGTTTGGTCCCGCCTTCGTCCCAAAAAAATATCATTTGCTATCCCGAACGAGCTTTTTTCCGATTTCGTCAAACTTTGGACAACCCATAACTTTAAACAACCATAACTTTTCGGATTTTGGAGCTCAATAACTTTAAACAACCATAATTTGTGCTCCAAAATCCGAACATCATGAGTTTTTTTATTTCTCATAACTTTTTAAGGACTACAATTTTTACAAGGAATGAATTTTCAAAACATGAATTATTTTTGGATATACCGGATTTTGGGAATAGCTTACCTTCTCTTTTCAGCAATCCACGTACATTTTGAAATTATGTCTATGATAAAAGTTGTATTCGTTAAATAATTATGCGAAATAAAAAAAATTCATGTCGTTTGGATTTTGGAGTACAAAGTTATAGTTGTCCAAAA